CGACTTGTCAATCCAAAAGTTCCGAATAGCTGAAAAGCAGTTAACAAGCAATTTCTGAAAGTGATTAGAAAAGGAAGTATGTGAACTTTTTAAAGTCCTTAAACTTGTATTTAAAACTTCTTTCACTAAGGATTGAAGGAAACTCACCCAGTGTTTTCCGACTTGTCAATCCAAAAGTTCCGAATAGCTGAAAAGCAGTTAACAAGCAATTTCTGAAAGTGATTAGAAAAGGAAGTATGTGAACTCAGTGTCCTTAAAGCTGGTGACTGTGGTTTGAGCGAGATGGCTATTCTTTCATCTCCCAGAGCTCTAAACCTGGCGGAGACTGCATTTCAGTCCGCCACAGTCGTCAGCTCCACTTTTAGCGGAGTCATCTTCAGTTTGCCATTTCTTCCCCAGAAGTCCAGAAGTTCCAGGTAGTTTAAAAAGAAAAAAAAATCTTAGCAATATATTAAAACCCAGAGAGAGACTATAAAGTCTATAATGCTGTGAAATATCATGAAATGCTAGAAAGCAGATGCTTAAGTCACATGTATTTTTAATGCTAGACACCAGCACTTTGGGCTGCACTATAAAGTGACCAAAAGCCACTGAAATTATGATGCTCTTTAGAAAGGCATGTTGCCAAGGGAATGTCTCTTTGCACGTAGCGCCTACTTCCATTCTTGCATTTAATAATACCTAGACCTTCTTATTTGCTGTTCTTCTGCAACATTAAGCCAGCTTAACCGTACCTGTGGAAAGGCATGCAACGGTTAGAAAGTGAGAGTGAAGTAAGAGACATCCTTAGAAAGTGAAGATGGAAATAAGGACAGACGATTCTGAACCATCTGCTTATACACACTCAGCTTTGTACAAAGGAATGCCCTGTTGGTGTCCCTTCCACACAGCATGGCAAACAGAAGCTTTCCAGAGTGTCATCGGTCGCTGGGGCCATAGGTTGTGTGCTGATGCTCTCAAAAAGCCACATCCCTCAATTAGATATGTGTGGAGGGACTTGCTTGTTTATTCATTGGTCCCATTTTCTTAGTTTTTCCTGCACTCGGGAGATTCATTGTAGAAAAATCCATGACTCCTGTAAAAACCGACATCAGCATAAGATTTTTTTTTTTTTGGAAAAAAGCAACCCCATGTTCTAATGTAGTTGCATACTGATTAAAAAAAAAAAAAGCTAGTAGCCATTATATAAGCAATATCCAGGGGTAGGCTGGCTGGCATTCTCAGAAGATACAAGCTCTCTACCCACCCACCCTCAGCTTTCACCAAAACTACAGGAGAAAGCAAACCAGATGTGAATAGCTTTGAATTGCCTATATACGGTGTTTACGTTTGAAAGCTAAATTACTTGTTAGTTATTAGTTAGTTATTAGTTAGTTGTTGTTCTGTTGCCTTGATCTTTTTTTTCTTAATAATAAACTGAGCTCAAAAAAGAGACTTGTGGCCTGGTTGACTGTTTTCTGTCCTGATTGTGGACAGGAAACATAGAGGCTGAATTCCCCACAAACCATGAGGACTGTAGACATCGATATGGTGGGCTGGGGGGGTGGGGGGATGTGTGGCTTCACAGAGTTAAAAGTGCATAAAGCCTCTGATCTGATGCCACGCTAGCAAAAAAACCTGTACAATATTCAGCACCAGAAGCACATTAGAGCAATGCCAGGTGGATGCAGTCGAGTGGTCAGTCTAGACCCGGTAACGTAATGTCTTGCTTTTAGAACTGAATCTGAAGAAAAACATAAATTTTATTACAGCTGTAATCAAGTTAGGGATCCTTACTTTATTACAGTGGGCTGTTCATTCCAGAATTTTCTGAGTAAAAGTAACCAATGAAAGTCCTCCAGGAACTCCACCGAGAGGGCATGACAACCCCTTTCTTCGTTACGTTATCCCCACATTTCTGAGCTATACCGCCTTGGAACATGGAGAAGCCACTTAGCAATTGCAGCAAATTGTTTTAATAGATCTCTGCCCTCTGTTAATCTCAAAGACCGACAACAACAATCTCAGAGACCATCACAAATGAAAAAAGGGCTCTTTTTCTTTAGGCACACAAAGATCTGGAAGACCACAAGGGAATTTATCTTCCTCAGTTGGGTGGCCTATTTTTAATTTTAAATTAGGGTTGCCATGTCTGAGCTGCAGAACTCCAAACCACCACTAGATGTCAACCAAGAGTAACAGGCAGCTCTCTCTCTCTTTTTCTTTGGCTGCCATCTAGTGACAATTTGGAGTTCGGCAGGCCAGATATGCTGGTCCCAGTTTGTAAACCTGCCAGCACTTTTTCCTAATACAGGAGAGTCTCGCTTATCTGACATAAACGGGCCGGCAGAACGTCGGATAAGTGAAAATGTCGGATAACACACAGTAACGATTGAGTGCAGTAAAAAAAAAAAAACCGATCTGCTGTGCCGCTTGCAATCAATTTTTGCGTTGCGGTGCTGCACC